GCAGCTGCTTCACCTCGTCTTGCGTCTGTACTGCTAGCCCCTGAGGGAGACCCGGATGCACCAGACATCCCGACTCCGCGCTCTTACGCGGAGGCGATAGAGGGTCCCTACTCCTCTCAGTGGCAGGCAGCTATGGATGCAGAGATGGCTTCCTGGAAGTCCACAGGCACCTACGTTGACGCTGTTCCCCCTCCTGGGGCGAACATCGTCAGTGGCATGTGGATTTTCAGGGTGAAGCGGCCGCCGGGTTCTCCGCCTGTCTTCAAGGCGCGTTACGTGGCTCGTGGCTTCAGTCAGCGGCAGGGGGTTGACTACTTTCAGACCTTCTCCCCCACCCCGAAGATGACCACTCTTCGGGTTCTTCTGCACGTTGCTGCTCACCGTGACTACGAGCTGCACTCTCTTGACTTCAGCACTGCCTTCTTGCAGGGCAGCCTGCACGAGGAGATCTGGCTGCGTCGCCCACCTGGCTTCACTGGGTCTTTCCCTCCTGGTACCCAGTGGAGTCTCCGGCGTCCAGTCTACAGTCTCCGCCAGGCGCCACGTGAGTGGCACGACACACTGAGGACTACGCTCGCGGCACTTGGGTTTGCTCCTTCTACTGCCGACCCGTCGCTGTTTCTTCGCACCGACACCTCTCTGCCGCCGTTCTACATCCTCGTGTACGTCGACGACTTGGTCTTTGCCACAGCTGACACTGCTGGACTCGCCTACGTGAAGTCCGAGCTGCAGAAGAGACACACGTGCACTGACCTGGGTGAACTGCGCAGCTACCTTGGCTTGCAGATCACCCGGGACAGAGCACGCGGCACCATTACCCTGACTGAGTCACACATGGTGCAGCAGGTCCTTCAGCGCTTCGGCTTCACGTACTCCTCGCCTCAGGCCACTCCTCTGCCTACTCGCCACTCGCTCTCAGCTCTGCCTTCGGATGAGTCCGTAGAGTCGAGTGGCCCGTTTGCAGAGCTTGTTGGCTGCCTCATGTACCTGATGACCTGCACACGACCTGACCTCGCATACCCTCTTAGCATTCTCGCACGCTTTGTTGCTCCTGGGAGACACCGACCAGAGCACATGGCTGCAGCGAAGAGGGTGTTGCGCTACTTGTGCAGTACGTCGGGCATGGGGCTAGTGCTTGGAGGGCGCAGTCCAGTGGTCCTCACTGGACACGCAGACGCTTCTTGGGCTGACGACCAGGCTACGCAGCGGTCGTCACAGGGTTACACCTTCAGCCTAGGTTCCGGCTCTGTCTCGTGGCGGGCTACCCGCTCGTCTTCTGTTCTCGGCTCCAGTTGTGAGGCTGAGATCTACGCTGGGGCTATGGCTGCACAGGAGTTACGCTGGCTCACCTACCTGCTGACCGACCTTGGAGAGCAGCCTCGTTCTCCTCCAGTCCTGTACGTAGACAACAAGGCCATGCTGGCCTTGTGTCGAGAGCAGCGACTGGAGCACAGAACGAAGCACATTGCTCTCCGCTACTTTCTTGCTCGTGAGCTACAGCAGCGTGGACAGCTACGACTTGCGTACGTGGCCTCTGAGGCCAACACTGCTGATGTGTTCACCAAGGCACTTGCGCCTTGTGATCATCAGCGTTGTTGCACGCAGTTGGGTCTTGTGGCTGTCTTGCCTCACTTGCTCTCCTCTTGACCTTGCTTGTACCTTCGCATATATATATACTCTTGCTCTTGCTTGCTTGATTCTTGTATATCTTTATATATGATCTTGCATGTAAACTTGCCTTCTGGCCTTTGAACTTGTGCTCGGAATGCGTGGTGACTTTGTGATCCAGCCTTGCTTTGCTTTGCTTGACTGGTCTTGTGACCCCTTGTTCTCCCCCACTTTGCCTATGGGGGTGTGTCAGAACATATAGCTTACTTGTTTCTGTAGGCTATAGTGGGGTATCCCATAGGGGGTACAACCCAATTAGGGTTTCCTATTTGTACCCACTTCATTTCATAGTCATTCACTCCCGTTCATTCAGTTTCACAGATCGATATCTGAAGAAGCCTTCATCACAGTCATCATCTCCGGCCTTGATCCTTGGCGCTCCACTCGAGCCATACTCCAAGCTCACGGGAAGATCTCCGAAGCGACACTCTGCGCAAAAATACACGCTGAACAACAAGACATGCACCTGCATGAGGAGCGGCACAAGAGGAAAATGTCAGTACCCGAATTTACATTTCACACCCAACGGCACTTCAACAACTCCAACCGACAGAATAAACAACAACAGCAACAGCACGTACCGCCGTTCTGTCATCTCTGCAAGATGTCTGGACACCCTCGTACACACTGCCCAAATCGACAGCAGTCAACACCACCGCAAAGACAACTTCGGCCCTCAAGCAGCCAAGTCACCTCAACGCAAGCGCATCCCACTTCTCAAGTTCAAACTTCAACAACGTCGACAACGCAGCCTGCACAAGGGACGAGAAACACCGTCAGCTGCATGGCGAGATTGACAGACTCCTGCACCACTGAATCACCACCGTACTACTCACCGGAAGAACAACTCGATGAAAGCACCCCTCGCCGCGAGTCACTGGAGCCGAACTCGACATACGCAGCCATCGCCCAGAGCGAACCATCCGGGAAAGACACCTGGTTCTTGGACAGCTGGTGCGGACAGCACATGTGCTCCTCGGGTCACTTCGTCCAACGGGAACACCAAATTCAACGCGAAGTAGTCATCACCGTCGCCAATAATCAGAACATGCGCACACGACGCCAAGGCATCGTTCAACTTCAGACAAGAGAAACCAACGTCATACTACAAATGTCAAAGGTTCTAATTGCGGAGGGACTTGGCTCCAACTTACTCAGCGTTAGCCAGTTGATGGCGAAGGGCATCCACCTCGAAGCAGACAGCACCACACAGGAGTTTAAGCTGTACCACGGGAAAGGAAGTCTCTACATCGGCAAGGCAGTGCTGAAGAATAATGTCTTCGTTCTCGACTTAGTTCCAGATCAAGGCACCGCCGATAGCGATGGGATCGTCACCTTCGCTCCTTGGACACATCCGCCGGACCTCGACCCCGACTTCAGCCCCGGCGGCTTCTGGTACTCGAACACCGTACCTAAGGCAGAACAAACACGAGCATTAGTGACAATCCAACAAGCAGAGACAACATCGGCAACAGCATAGACAACATCGGCAGCAACAAAGACAACATCGGCAGCAGCAGAGACAACATCGGCTGCAGCAGAGACAACACCAATCGCGGGTCCTTCAACGGCACCAGCCCCAATCCACGATACTCCACCGACTCCTGCGCAGCAGTCGACTCCCACTCCACGAGAAGTCCACAGAAGCGCAAACTTCACCGCCGGTTTTTACTCCAACTCCGACTTGTACAGACGCTCACCCGGACATCGCGCCAGTGAAGACATCTGGCACGCAAGAATGGGACACCCGAGCAACACGACGTTAAATAACACGATAAGAGCAGGAGTACTTGACAAAGACTCGCTACTCCTACCCGACAACAGAGAACTTCAACGAGTTTGAGGAACATATCTCACCTGCCCTGAAGCCGACTTACCGCATCAGCCTTTCGTCTCTCACCACAACCTCTGGAGAAAGTATACAGCAACATACTATACAACCGTGAACTTGGTCAAGGAGCATACAACTACGTTTGCACTTTCATCAACGCCGCTACACGATACGTATGGCACCTTAACCTTCCGAGTCGCGACATGGCCTTCGAGGCTTTCGTCGCCTGGCTTCCAATAGCATAATGAGAATTAGGAGTGAAGCTGAAAAGCTTCCGTTCAGACGGGGGAGGGGAATATCAGTCACAGAGGTTCACGCAGTACTTGGCAGAGAGAGGCATCAAGCGACTCATCTCCCTTCCCTACGCTCACCAACAGCAAGGCGTGGCAGAAAGAATGAATAGGACCCTCCAGAACACCATGCGCAAACTACTACATGGCATGCAGCTACCCAACCACCAGTGGCCTGAGGCGATGGACCATGCTGTCATGCTGCACAACTTACTTTCGTCATCATCGCTCCCGAACACCGCATCACAGCATCTGCTGTGGACAGGAAAATTGGGCAACACAAAAATGTTTCGAGTGTTCGGCTGCATGGTACAGTTTCGACCCCTAGCTGCACGAGCAGGTCGCTTCTCCCAACGTGCACAGTAGGGGGTACACTTGGGCATCGAAAAACACTACAACGCATGGAAGATCTTCGACGTCCATACAAAGCAAACAGTAGCAGCACGTGACGTGATCTTCTACAAACGTCTCACTCTTCCGACCTACCTGTACAACTTGGAAACCTCACGGGACGTCACAGGTGGATTTCGTGGGGACCGAGCCTTCGCTTCGGCAGCAGATGAAGCTAACTATGATGAGCAGAACGTGGACAGAGCTTCAGAAGAAGCCGGACCTCTTCCCTAATGCTCGGTGGACATCCCAATGGATGATGACAACCCTTGCGAAAGCATCAACGTCGAAGTCTTCTACGACGTCGCTCACAACGGTTACGTTACACCCGCGCAAGTCAACACCGACGAAGCAGAATGCATAGAGAGACGAAGCGGGAGACGAAACAACTTATCCCGAGGACGCAAATCTTCCCCGCTACACATAGAGTGGACTCCAAATACTTGGACTGGTCACCGCAGTCCACGGCACGGCTGTGAAAGAGTGAACGCGAATGAATGAACTATGAATGAAGTGGGTACAAGTACTAACCCTAATTGGGTTGTACCCCCTATGGGATACCCCACTATAGCCTACACAAAAGCATAAGCTATAATGTTCTGACACACCCCCATAGGCAAAGTGGGGGAGAACAAGGGGTCACAAGACCAGTCAAGCAAAGCAAAGCAAAGCAAGCTCAGGGTGGATCACAACGTCACCACACAGTCTGAGCACAAGGTCAAGGCCACAAGGCCAGTTCACGTGCAGGAGGAGACACATATATATATAAGTCTAAACAAGCAAGAGCAGGTATATATATTTATGCAAGAGTACAAGTAAGGTCAAGAGGTGAGCAAGTGAGGCAAGACTGGGACAAGTCCCAGCTGAGTGCAGAAACGCTGATGATCACAAGGCGGAAGTGCCTTGGTGAAAACATCAGCAGTGTTGGCCTCAGAGGCCATGTACGCAAGTCGCAACTGACCACGCTGCTGCAGCTCACGAGCAAGAAAGTAGCGGAGAGCAATGTGCTTCGTTCTGTGCTCCAGGCACTGCTCTCGACACAAGGCCAGCATGGCCTTGTTGTCTACGTACAGCACTGGAGGAGAACGAGGCGGCTCTCCAAGGTCAGTCAGCAGGTAGGTGAGCCAGCGAAGCTCCTGAGCAGCCATGGCCCCGGCGTAGATCTCAGCCTCACAACTGGAGCCGAGAACAGAAGACGAGCGGGTAGCCCGCCACGAAACAGAGCCGGAACCAAGACTGAAGGTGTAACCTTGCGACGACCGCTGAGTAGCCTGGTCGTCAGCCCAAGAAGCGTCCGCGTGCCCGGTGAGGACCACTGGACTCCGCCCTCCAAGCACTAGCCCCATGCCCGACGTACTGCACAAGTAGCGCAACACCCTCTTCGCTGCAGCCATGTGCTCTGGTCGGTGTCTCCCATGAGCAACATAGCGTGCCAAGATGCTAAGAGGGTATGCAAGGTCAGGTCGTGTGCAGGTCATCAGGTACATGAGGCAGCCAACAAGCTCTGGGTACGGGCCACTCGACTCTACGGACTCATCCGAAGGCAGAGCTGAGAGCGAGTGGCGAGTAGACAGAGGAGTGGCCTGAGGCGAGGAGTACGTGAAGCCGAAGCGCTGAAGGACCTGCTGCACCATGTGTGACTGAGTCAAGGTAATGGTGCGGCGTGCTCTGTCCCGAGTGATCTGCAAGCCAAGGTAGCTGCGCAGTTCACCCAGGTCTGTGCACGTGTGTCTCTTCTGCAGCTCGGACTTCACGTAGGCGAGTCCAGCAATGTCAGCTGTGGCAAAGACCAAGTCGTCGACGTACACGAGGATGTAGAACGGCGGAAGAGAAGTGTCGGTGCGCAGAAACAACGACGGGTCAGCAGTAGAGGGAGCAAACCCAAGAGCCGCTAGCGTAGTCCTCAGTGTGTCGTGCCACTCACGCGGTGCCTGGCGGAGACCGTAGACTGGCCGTCGGAGGCTCCACTGTGTGCCAGGAGGGAAAGTCCCAGTGAAGCCAGGTGGACGGCGCAGCCAGATCTCCTCGTGCAGGCTACCCTGCAAGAAAGCAGTGCTGAATTCAAGAGAGTGAAGCTCGTAGTCGCGCGGAGCGGCTATGTGTAGCTGCACCCGAAGAGTGGTCATCTTCGAGGTGGGAGAGAAGGTCTGAAAGTAGTCAACTCCTTGGCGCTGACTGAAGCCACGAGCCACGTACCGCGCCTTGAAGACAGGTGGAGAGCCCGGCGGCCGCTTCACCCTGAAGATCCACATCCCACTAACGATGTTCGCCCCAGGAGGGGGAACCGCATCAACGTAGGTGCCTGTGGACTTCCAGGAAGCCATCTCTGCGTCCATAGCTGCCTGCCACTCAGAGGAGTAGGGACCCTCTACGGCCTCCGCGTAAGAGCGCGGAGTCGGGATGTCTAGTGCATCCGGGTCTCCCTCAGGGGCAAGCAGTACAGACGCGAGATGAGGTGAAGCAGCAGCCAGACACTGAAACTCCTCCTGCCTGTCCTCAAGGACGTCCGTGCCAAGAGCACACTCACCCCCGACGGACGGAGGACAGACAGATGCAGACTCAGCAACAAGACTAGCAGCGTAGTCTAGACGACAGCGAGCAGCAAAGTCGACGAGCTCAGCAACAAGAGCAGACGCAGCAGTGGACTCAAAGGAGGGGTCAGTGACGACAGTAGCAAGGAGACGCGTGACAGTAGGACTGGCAGCACGAAGAGAGTCCGACTCAGGGTCGGCAAGCGCAGGAAGAGAGGACTCAGGAGGAGAGGGCAAAGGGGCACGCAGAGGAGCAGTGGACGGACGCAGAGACATCCGGTGCGTGCCAGGGACAGGAGGAGGACGCTGACGCGAACTGCGACCACTAGTGCGAGCCGCACGAACAGGCGACGCAGGACGAGACGCAGGCTCACGACGCTCAGCAAGACCTCTAGTAGGACCAGTGTAAGGTGAAGGAGAAGGCAGTGGGGAGGCTGGCGGTAACTGTGACTGCGACTGGACAGGCGGTGGACACTCTAAGAGAGGAGGAAGACCAAGAACCTGCTGGAGAAGCAGAACAAAGTACGGCCGAGGCCGCGCGGCAGCACCAGACACAGCAGGGACAGGACCAGCACCCTTAGCACCTCCGGCAGCACCAGCGCCAACAGCACCTCCAGCAGCAGGACCTCCAACAGCACCAGCAGCACCCGCAGCACGACCACCACCAGGACTGACAGTAGTAGTCTCAGAACCAACACCCTCAGCAGCTCCAGCTCCAGGCTTACCCGCAGGCCCAGCAGCTCCGGGACCGGCGGCACCAGCACCCTCAGCGGTCGAAGAAGCGTCAGCTCAACCAGTACGCCTCCAGCGGCGAGCAAACCACTCACGCAGCTCCTGTGGAGAGAGTGGCTCCCGCCGAGACGAAACACCCGGAGAACCTCCAGGCCCAGCACCGCCAGACGCCACAAGGGGAGGTCCAGTGGCCGCAGGCTCCACACCTCCAGGCTCAGCAGCTCCAGACGCAGCACCCCCAGGCTCAACACCCCCGCGCGCAGCACCCCCAGAGGCAGCACCCCCAGGCTCAGCACCCCCAGGCTTAGAACCCCCAGAGGCAGCACCCTCAGGCTTAGCACCCCCACGCTCAGCACCCCCAGGCTCAGCACCCCCAGAGTCAGCACCCCCAGGCTCAGCACCCCCAGGCTCAGCACCCCCAGCAGTACCTGTGTCACCAGCAACCTCGACCGGCTCGACTGCATCTACCTGGGACACACCGGAAGGGGCAGGACCCTGAGGGGGAAGGGGGTCTACCGGGGGGGGACCTGGCACAAGGAAGTGCGGTGGCGGGGGGAGGGAAGGAGTGCGGTAGGGGAAGAGGCGGTAGAAGGGGACGGACTCGTCGAAAGTGACGTCCTGGGAGGACAGAACACGACGAGAGGAGGGGTGGTAGAACTGCCACCCTGGGGCGTCAGGGGGGAAGCCTAGGAAGACACAGGGAGCAGCACGAGGGGACAGCTTGTCCGCAGACAAGTCGCGGACAAACGCCCGAGATCCCCAGACACTGAACGCAGACGCATCGCCGACCTTCCCCGTCCACAGCAGAGCTGGGGAGGTCTCCGGCCGGGAGACCCTGGGGTGAAGGTTGAGCTGATGTGCCGCGTTCTGAACCGCAAACGGCCACAGAAAATGGGGGGCAGCCGCATGCATCATGGACGTACGAGCGACGTCCATGACCATGCCAATGCGGCACTCAGCAATCCCATTTTGCTGTGGAGAGTCCAGAAGCGTGAAGGTCTGGCGGATGCCTCGTGCACGACAGTAGGCTCGCAGAAGGCCAGAGGAGAACTCTCCACCTCGGTCAGAGTGCAGACGCAGAACAGGAAAGTCCGAGCGGAAGCTCCTCATGAGCTGGAGACGAGCTGCGCGGATCCAGTCGATCAACACCCCAGTGACATCACCCTTGCTGCGCAAGGGGAAGACCGTGGTGTAACGCGAGTAGTCGTCAACCACCAGCAGGAAGTAGCGCTCGTGACCCTGTCCACGGACGCGGGCCGGGCCCCACACGTCCATGTGAAGCGTCTGCAGAGGAGCCTCTGTCGGGGGAAAATGGGAGGAGTGAGGGGCAGCCCAGAGCCGCCCCTCGACACAGGGGACAAACGAAGGTCCTGGCCCCGAAGGAAGGGGAGGGAGAGACCGGGGGAGATCAGAGACGAGGACACGGGAAGCCATGCCCCGAAGACGAGGCAAGGAGGGGTGGCCAAGACGGTGGTGCCACAAGAGAGGCTCGTGAAACAGGAGGCGACACGAGCAGGGGGCAGACTCAGGACCAGACCTGGACGCAGCAGCAAACACCTGACCCGACGCAGCTACCTGGCCAGACGCAGGGACTGGAGGAGACTCGGTGGTCAGGGTGTAGAGACTCGACCCGGGCCGACGCGAAAACGTGGCTAGGTGTCGGCCTGTGCGGGCGTCCGAGCAGTGGGTCCCCCGCTGACTCGCAGGAGTAAACTGGTGAACCCCCGCATCCTGCAGGTCAGCACCACTCACCAAGTTCGTCGAGAACGAGGGGAGGTACAGACCCGACAGGGTGCCCGAGGGGGCAGCCGGACACGGGAGGACAGTGGAGAAGTGAGCAAGGACAGGACCCCCAGAGGGGTCAGCCAGGGAGACTGCAACCGGCCGATCAAGCGGCGTGAGTGTGGTGCGGTCTCGAAAGGAGCGAGAAGCCCCTGAGTCAAGTGTGAAGGTGAGGGAGGCCGAAGCCGACGCAGTACCTGAGAGCGCAGCCTCACTGGCACCTAGAGCAGTAGCCTCACAAGCACCTAGCGCAGCAGTACCAATGCCCGGGTCAGGCGGGAAACACCGGTAGCAGTCACCCTCATCACTAATAGTCACAGCATACATGGCAGCAAGGATAGCATCAAAGTCAAGATCAAAGATCGCTACGCCAGCCCTAGACAGCTCTCCCCAGCGGGGAATCTCACTAGCCTCGGGGAACTGCTGACGCCAAGCGTCCGCCAGGCAACCAAAGCAGCGCTGGGTGGAGTGGGCACCCCCACACTGCTCACCCGCGCTGTCGCCGGAACGAAGAACGTAGGTGCACGGGCCAAGACCCTCACCACGCTGACGCTGCGTGTACCACTCACGAAGCTGCTGAGGCGGGGGGATGTCCCGAGAACGCTGCTGCTGCTGCTGCTGCTGGCGCTGAGCACCACCAGAGCCGCTCCGCTGCGGGGCACTACCCCGACCGGCTCCACCTCCTCCGCCACCGCCGCCTCCACCTCCGCCACCACCGCCGCCTCCGCTCCCACCGCCTCCGCCGCCACCGCCGCCGCCTCCGCTGCCGCCACCACCACCACCCCCACCACCACTCCCACCGCCACCCCCACTCCCTGCGCCACTGCCACTGCCACCTCCACCGCCCCCGCCAGCTCCACCCGCGCCCTTGCCCCCCTTGCCCTTGCCAGGGCAGCGTCTCCCGCTAGGAGCAGACGCCGCGCCGACCGACTCAAGACCAAGCAGGTCGGCAGCAGCAGCAGAGGCAACAGAGGGCAGCAGGGGGGAAGGAGAACACCCCTCAAAGATGGGAGTGCGCGGGTCACCACGAGAGGCTCCTACAGCGACTATGCTCTTCTCCGCCGCTAGGAGGGCCTTCTCGAGGAGGTCGACAGTGAGGGTGGTGGGACAGACTGAGAGGAAGTGGTCCCTGACTACGCTAAGGGAGTCAGGGAGGCGCGCGACTACGTAGTAGAGAGCGATGTACATGGGGGGGGGGTTCTTAGCGCAGAACTCAGCAGGAAGGGTGGCGCGGTAGCGAGTGTCAGAAGTGCGGAGGTGCGTGATGAGGTCAGCGACTGTAGGAAAGGCAGCAAGGTCAGGAAAGAGGTACGGTAGCATGAGGCGGCTCAGTGCAGCAGTGGCAGGGGAAGAGTAGCGCGCAACTACAGCGTCGTACAAGGTCTGAGCACTCTTGTACTGACTAAAGTGCGCGCGCTCAGTGGTAGGCAGGTGGCAACGCACAGCAAGACGTGCAGCAGCATCGCGGGTGGCCCACTGAGAGCGAACAGTGGGGTCAGCATCAGCAGTAGGAGCAAGGGAGGCGCCAGAGGTGAGGTCAAAGAGAGAAAGACCGTCCGCCCTATCGCACTGTAAAAACAGCTGCACGTCGTCGACCCAGACCTCAAAGTCAATGGCTCGACCCTCAGCGTCAAAAGCGAGGACACTAGGGGTAGCCATGACGACAGACTAGCAGTGCAAGCAGTGGGGAAGGGCACGCAGTAGGAGTGGGGCTGTGCTCACCAGACAGGGCAGGTCGGGCGACTCGGCAGCAGGGCGGCTCGGCGGTACTGCGGCTCGGCGGTCCGGCGGCTCGGCGGCGGCTGCTGGGCGGCTCGGCTGTACTGCGGCTCGGCGGCCGGGCGGCTCGGCGGCTGCTGCTGGGCGGCTCGGCTGAACTGCGGCTCGGCGGCCAGGCGGCCCGGCGGCTGCTGCTGGGCGGCTCGGCTGCTCCGGTACCGGGCGGCGTGGCGGGCGGCTGCTCGGGCGGCTCGGCAGGAGGGGAGACCGGCGGGGCCGCGAAGGTGTGGGCGGCGGGGCCGCGTAGGAGAAGGCGGCGGGGCCGCGTAGGCACGGGCGGCGAGGCCGCGAAGGTGAGGGCGGCGGGGCCGCGTAGGTGAGGGCGGCGGGGCCGCGGAGGTGAGGCGGCGGGGCCGCTACGTGAGGGCGGCGGGGCCGCGAAGGTGAGGTGGCAGGGCCGCTACGTGAGGGCGGCGGGGCCGCGACATAAGGGCGGCGGGGCCGCATAGGTAAGGGCGGCGGGTCCACGTAGGTAAGGGCGGCGGGGCCGCGAAGGTGAGGGCGGCGGGGCCGCGAAGGTGAGGGCGGGGAGGCCGCGAAGGTGAGGGCGGCGGGGCCGCGAAGGTGAGGGCGGCGAGGCCGCGAAGGTGAGGCGGCGGGGCCGCGACGTGAGGGCGGCGGGGCCGCGACGTAAGGGCGGCGGGGCCGCAACGTGAGGGCGGCGGGGCCGCGACGTGAGGGCGGCGTGGCCGCGACGTGAGGGCGGCGGGGCCGCGACGTGAGGGCGGCGGGGCCGCGACGTGAGGGCGGCGGGGCCGCGACGTGAGGGCGGCGGGGCCGCGACGTGAGGGCGGCTGGGCCGCGACGTGAGGGTGGCGGGGTCGCGACGTGAGGGCGGCGGGGCCGCGGCGTGAGGGCGGCGGGGCCGCGACGTAAGGGCGGCGGGGCCGCGTAGGTAAGGGCGGCATACCGGGCCGCTAGGGGCGACACGAAGGGTCGCTAAAAAAAAAGGAATGCGCGCCTCGGGGCGCGCTTCGGTGGGCCCTGGGAACAGTCCCTAGGAGGGGACCTGCTCTGATTCCATGTGAAAGAGTGAACGCGAATAAATGAACTATGAATGAAGTGGGTACAAGTACTAACCCTAATTGGGTTGTACCCCCTATGGGATACCCCACTATAGCCTACACAAAAGCATAAGCTATAATGTTCTGACAACGGCCCCACCTAAGGAGCCTGCCACAGTTTAGCAGGCTCAAGGGGGGGGAGCACAAGGAAAAATGGCGCAAAGCCTTGGACAAGGAGTTAAAGGCGATGGAAGAACGCAACACTTGAAAGGTTATACCTGTGAGAATAAGCGAACAGGAATGAATGAACTAGCAGTGAAATGAGTACAAGTAGGAAACCCTAGAATTGTGTACCCCCTATAGGCTAACCCACTGTAGCCTACACAAGCATAACATATATAATGTTTGACATACCCCCATAGGCAAAGTGGGGGAGAACAAGGGGTCACAAGACCAGTCAAGCAAAGCAAAGCAAGCTCAGGGTGGATCACAAAGTCACCACACAGTCCGAGCACAAGAGCAGGGCCAGAGGCCAGTTCACATGCAGGAGTACAGACATATATATAAAACTAGACAAGCAAGAGCAGGTATATATATATGTCACAGTACAAGTGAAGTCAAGAGGAGAGCAAGTGAGGCAAGACAGGCACAAGACCCAGCTGGGTGCAAAGGTGCTGATGGTCACAAGGCGCGAGTGCCTTGGTGAACACATCAGCAGTGTTGGCCTCAGAGGCCACGTACGCAAGTCGCAACTGACCACGCTGCTGCAGCTCACGAGCAAGGAAGTAGCGGAGAGCAATGTGCTTCGTTCTGTGCTCCAAGCGCTGCTCTCGACACAAGGCCAGCATGGCCTTGTTGTCTACGTACAGCACTGGAGGAGAACGAGGCGGCTCTCCAAGGTCAGTCAGCAGGTAGGTGAGCCAGCGAAGCTCCTGTGCAGCCATGGCCCCGGCGTAGATCTCAGCCTCACAACTGGAGCCGAGAACCGAAGACGAGCGAGTAGACAGCCACGAGACAGAGCCGGAACCAAGGCTGAAGGTGTAACCCTGTGACGACCACTGCGTAGCCTGGTCGTCAGCCCAAGAAGCGTCCGCGTGGCCGGTAAGGACCACTGGACTCCGCCCTCCAAGCACTAGCCCCATGCCCGACGTACTGCACAGGTAGCGCAATACCCTCTTCGCTGCAGCCATGTGCTCTGGTCTGTGTCTCCCAGGAGCAACATAGCGTGCAAGAATGCTCAGAGGGTATGCAAGGTCAGGTCGTGTGCAGGTCATCAGGTACATGAGGCAGCCAACAAGCTCTGCATACGGACCACTCGACTCTACGGACTCATCCGAAGGCAGAGCTGAGAGTGAGTGGCGAGTAGGCAGAGGAGTGGCCTGAGGCGAGGAGTACGTGAAGCCGAAGCGCTGAAGGACCTGCTGCACCATGTGTGACTGAGTCAAGGTAATGGTGCGGCGTGCTCTGTCCCGAGTGATCAGCAAGCCAAGGTAGCCGCGCAGTTCACCCAGGTCTGTGCACGTGTGTCTCTTCAGCTGCTCGGACTTCACGTAGGCGAGTCCAGCAGTGTCCGCTGTGGCAAAGACCAAGTCGTCGACGTACACGAGGATGTAGAACGGCGGCAGGGAAGTGTCGGTGCGAAGAAACAGCGACGGGTCAGCAGTAGAAGGAGCAAACCCAAGAGCCGCAAGCGTAGTCCTCAGTGTGTCGTGCCACTCACGCGGTGCCTGGCGGAGACCGTAGACTGGCCGTCGGAGGCTCCACTGGGTGCCAGGAGGGAAAGTCCCAGTGAAGCCAGGTGGACGGCGAAGCCAGATCTCCTCGTGCAGGCTACCCTGCAAGAACGCAGTGCTGAAGTCGAGAGAGTGAAGCTCGTAGTCGCGCTGAGCGGCTATGTGCAGCAGCACCCGAAGAGTAGTCATCTTCGGGGTGGGAGAGAAGGTCTGAAAGTAGTCAACTCCCTGCCGCTGACTGAAGCCACGAGCAACGTACCGTGCCTTGAAGACAGGTGGAGAGCCCGGCGGCCGCTTCACCCTGAAGATCCACATGCCACTGACGATGTTCGCCCCAGGAGGGGGAACCGCGTCAACGTAGGTGCCTGTGGACTTCCAGGAAGCCATCTCTGCATCCATAGCTGCCTGCCACTGAGAGGAGTAGGGACCCTCTACGGCCTCCGCGTAAGAACGCGGAGTCGGGTTGTCTAGTGCATCCGGGTCTCTCTCAGGGGAAAGCAGTACAGACGCGAGATGAGGTGAAGCAGCCGCTAGACACTGTAACTCCTCCTGCCTGTCCTCTAGGACGTCCGTGCCAAGAGCACACTCACCCCCGACGGACGGAGGACAGACAGACGCAGACTCAGCAACAAGACTAGCAGCATAGTCGAGACGACAGCGAGCAGCAAAGTCGACGAGCTCAGCGACTAGAGCAGACGCAGCAGTGGACTCAAAAGAGGGGTCCGTGACGACAGTAGCAAGCAGACGCGTGACAGTAGGACTGGCAGCACGAAGAGAGTCCGACTCAGGGTCGGCAAGCGCAGGAAGAGAG